GAGAGAGAGAGAGAGAGAGAGAGAGAGAAAGAAAGAGATATGTTTTGGTAAATACATCCGTAGCTGGTAGGTAGATAGATACACAGGTAAATAGACAGACAGACGTATGAACAGATATATAGACCGACAGATGAAAAGATAAATAGACTGACAGCTAGATAGATCGATCGATAGATAAAGAGAGACAGAATGAGAAAAAGAAAGGAAAGAAAGAGAGAATGAAGTTCATTCAGACAAGTTAATGAGAAAGAGGCAGCTAATTATGAAAATATACAACAAAACAACACAGAACCTAAACAACAACAATAACAACTATGAAAAGATGACGAATAGACGAAAAAAAGAAAATAAATCAAATTGCAAAGGAAAAAAATAATAAAACGCAAGGGAATCCCAGAGCAAAAAGCCATGCATGGATAAACTCGAGACAAATGAACTCCGAAACGCGTCCAATCTATGTCAGAGTTGCCGAGAAGCAGGTATCACGCACTGAGCTCATGAGTGTCTCTTGCTTTATATATATATTTTTTAAAATTCTGCGTCACTTGCCGATTTTCTCAATTTCTTGGCTTTCTGTCGACATGTGAGGAAAGTAGGGTGATAATAAGGGAAATGAAGGATGATATTGCTGATGTCAAGGTAAGTGAGCGTGTATATATTCTGTATTCTTTATTGCTATAACTAAAACTTCTCCTATGACCACTACTATTACCAGTATAACTACTGTGTGTGTGCTTCTATGACAGCAATAATTTCTACTGCTACTATTACTATTACTACTACTGTTAAAACTACTACTACTGTTATTATAACTGCTACTACTATTACTACTACTGCTACTGTTAAGACTACTACTACTGTTATTACTACTACTACTGCTGTTGCTATTACTACTGGTGCTGCTGCTACTGGTGCTGCTGCTGCTGTTGCTATAAATATTAAAAATGCTGCCACTGCCACTAACAATGACTAATAATACTATTGCAAATAATAATGCTACTAGTAGTAGTTGCAGTAGTAGTTTTAATTTATACAAAGGTTAAAATCATCGTAATATGATAATGATGATGATGATGACGGTATTAGTAATAATGATAATAATTATGATAATGATGATGGTGATGATGATGATGATAATGATGATGATAATGATAATGATGATTATAATAATAATAATGATAATAATAATAATAATAATAATAATAATAATAATAATAATAATGATAATGATGATAATAATAATGATAATAACAATAATAATAATAATAATAATAATAATGATAATAATGATAATAATAATAATGATAATAGTAATAGTAATAATAATAATAAAGATGATTATAGTAATAATAGTAATAATAATGGTGATAATAATATTAATAATAATAATAATAATAAAGATTATGTCAGTGACAATAATAATAATAATAATAATAATAATAATAATAATAATAATAATAATAATAATAATAATGATAATAATAATAATAATAACAATAATAATAAAAATGATAATAATAATAATAATAATAACAATAATAATAAACATAATAATAATAATGATAATTATATTGACAATAATAATAAAGTAATAGGAATAATAAGGGTAACAACAACAACAGTACTACTACTACTACTACTATGAACAATGATAATAATATTGATGACAATCAACAAAGCAAACTACACTAATGCGGGTAAGACTGCAGTCGACATACTGTTCAGTAAAGCAATGGCAAAAAGAAGACCAAGCTATCTTTATGGGAAAAGTTCGTTGGTAAAAATGATACTGTAGTAAAAATGGAAATAAGAGATTCTGTTGTTGCTATGTGAGTTTAATACGTGTATTATTTGGCTGGATTTTTGTTATAGAGATGTGGTGATGGTGACTGTGTTGGTAGTGATGATAATGATGATGATTATGATGGAGGTACGGAAATTTTTTTGAGAAATTAGGTATTCTGGCAGCGTTTTTAAGCTGTGACTAGAGCTGTATGGGTGTAGTTTAGAAGAGAAAAAAATCAAGTGACTAGTAACAACTAAAATAAACTTTTGGCCGGGGAGGGGGGGGGGGGTAGCAAACCAGACTTTCTGGGGAGCAAACAGAGGCATCCGCTCCAGCCTCCAGCCTCTTCCTAATTGACGTTCATTTTCCATCCTTAAGCCTCTTCCAGCTCTTATCTTCTTCCGTCCCTAACACCCTTCCACCTTTAATCCCTTTCCACCCCTTCCACCTATAACCTCTTCCACCCCTTCCACCTCTGCCAAGCATTCCATCTCTACCCCACACCTCTTCCACCTCCAACCTCTTCTACCTCTTCTACCCCTTCCACCTTTACCCACACACCCCTTCCATCTCTACCCCTGTCACCCCTTCCACCTCTTCCACCTCTACCCCCATCCCCTTCCACCTCTAACTCTCACAACCCTCCACACCCCTTCCACCTCCACCAACCTTCTCCATCCTTCCACTCTTCCCAGAACACCCTTAGGTACTCAC